AAAAAAAAAAAAAAAAAAGGACTGGGAATGGAGTTTGAGGCAAGCCCTGAGCTACATAGCAAGACCCTGTCTCAGAAATCCAACAAGTTAAGATAGAGGTAGATAAGGTGAGCAGAAATATGAATATTCAAGCAGTCTCGATCACATGGTAGTCTAGTTGATCATTATCTCAACTGTTTTCTTTTTTTTGGTTTTTCTCCGGTACTGGGAACCGAACTCATGACCTTGCACTTGCCAAGCAGGCGCTTTGCTGCTGAGGTAAATCCCCAGCCCCCTCATTATCTCAATATAGCTCAGTGGGACCTTGTCCACAGCACTGAGCATCCAAAATTGCTATTGCTAGGGGCTGGGGATTTAGCTCAGCGGCAAAGCGCCTGCCTGGCAAGCGCAAGGTCGTGAGTTCGGTTCCTGGTACTGGAGAAAAACCAAAAAAAAAAAAAAATTGCTATTGCTGCCAGGCGTTGTGGTGCACACCTGTAATCCCAGCACTCGGGATGCTGAGGCAGGAGGATTGTGTGAGTTTAAGACCAGCATGGGCTACAAAGTGAGCTGAAGTCCAGCCTCAACTGCATAGTGAGACCCTGTCTCAAAAAACAAAAGTTGCTATTGCTTGGGGTAGTTTTCATTCATCACAGATGTTTGTGGGTCCGATCAGACTTGTTGTTCCTGGATTCCTAGGTGACTGCCAAAGACAATGACCTACAGCAAAGCAGACAGACACTAAATGGAAGCTCTGAGATGCCAGATTTTCATATGCTTTGTAGCTACCCACTGGACATTTGAGGTCCAAGTGAAGAGTTACTGTTTTTAGCCAAAGAAGGCCTAGAGTCTTGTTACACTACTATTATTTGCAATCTTTGGTCATAAAAGACTAAGAATCAAGAGACATAAGCTCTAGTCCTAATTTTCTAACTAAATGTAGCAAGTCACTTCACTGTGCTTCATGTTCATTTGTCAAGTAAAGTAATTAGAGGCTCTATGTTAAGCCACAAAAAACAAGCCTTTAAAAAATTGAATTAGAGGGCCAGGGACATAGCTCAGCAGCACAGCACCTTCCTGAACAAGCACAAGGCCCTGAGTTCGATTCCTGGTACCAAAAAAAAATTTGAATTAGGGCCAAGGATATAGCTCAGTGGCAAAAGCACCTGCCTGGCAAGTGCAAGGTCCTGAGTTCAATACCCGGTAAAAAAAAAAAAAAAAAAAAAAAATTGAATTAGTGCCAGGTGTGGTGGCACACAGCTATAATCCCAATACTCAAGAGACTGAGGCAGGAGAATCACTCTGAGTTCAAGAGTGCACTACACAGTGAGACCCTGTCTCAAAAAAAAAAAAAAGAGAGAAGCCGGGTGTGGTGGTACACGCCTGTAATGCCAGCACTTGGGAGGCTGAGGCAGGAGGATCAGGACTGTTGCAAGTTCAAGACCAGCCTGTCTAGAAAGTGAGCTCAAGGCCAGCCTGAACTGCATAGGTAGACCTTGTCTCAAAAAGACAAAAAAAAAAAAAGAGAGAGAGAGAGGAAAAAAAATCTGAATAGACATATAAAAAGTAAGGCAACTAAACCAGTAATCATCATAAGCATGGTAGCACATGCATGTAATCCCAGCACTTGGGAGACTGAGGCAGGAGGATCCTCATGAATTTGAGGCCAGGTTGGGCTACATAGTGAGGCCCTATCTTGTAAAAACAAGGAAAAAAAACACCTAGAAACAGAAAGATGCCCCACATTCATCAATCAGAATATTTAATATTGTTAAGATAATACTATGCAGGGCTGGGGATTTAGCTCCGCAGCACAGCACCTGCCTGGCAAGCATGAGGTTGTGAGTTCGATTCCCAGTACTGGAAAAAAAAAAAAAGATAATGCTATGCAAAGTGATCTATAGATTCAGTACCAATCCCTTTCCAAATCCCAGTGGCTTTTTTTACAGAAATAAACAAACAGTATTCGCTGACCTCTAGAAATCCTTCTCAGCTCTGTAGGACACATTCCAGTACTTAGGGTCAGGCCTCTGCTGTTGAACTCTTGGTTTACTGAATTCTTTTTTAGTATGAGGATTGAACCTAGGGCCTTCACACTGACCTATATCCTTTACTCTTTTCTATTTTTTATTTTGAGACAGGAGCAACCGGATCTGGAACAGGAACTAACAAACTGAAGTATACTGGCTGGGAGGCAGGGAGGCATTTTCTGCTACAGTATGAGTCAACATGCTTGGTTTATTGAATGCTTTTAGTTTTCTGTCCTGTAAAATGGGGAGAAATTTTCCTTATACCAATGAGAATGGCCAGGCATGGTGGCACACACCTGTAATCCCAGCACTCAGGAGGCTGAGGCACAAGGATCAAGGTGAGTTTGAGGGCAGCCTGTACTACAAAGTGAGCTCAAGTCCAGCCTGAACTCCATAGTGAGACCCTGTCTCAAAAAGACCAAAAAAAAAAAAAAAAAGAATGAAGTGGGAGACAACCCAAAAAGCATGTTACACTCAACTCACATTGGCCAGGTTTGCTAACGTTTCTGTGGCCTGACCTGGAGTGCGATCAGGAGTGAGTGTAATAAATTACAAGTGAGAAGCACTTCAAAACTAAAGGGGGTGGTCAGCCGTATTAAATTTTGCAGAGACATCAAGTAAAGTTGGCGCTGAGGAAAAGCCATTGGATACAGCAGTTAGGTCATCAGTGACCTTCAAGAGCAGTTTCGAAAGGGTGTTAGAAGCCGGACTGCTAGGTGAGGAAGAGGAGGTAGTAAGTGTAGGGCGCCCTGGAGAACAGGAGCGAACAGATAGGAGGTGACTTGTAGGAATCGGGCTGGACAAATAATGGGTTTATTCTTCACACGTGTTCGCAAAACCCACCCTGCTCGACAAAGCTGGCTTTGCTGCTAGGTCAGCCATAGGCTGTGTCGGGGAGGACACATCAGGAGTAATCTCCTTTTACCTACAGGGTCTGCCGTTCCCCAGAGGAACTAGCAGTGTCCCCAAAACTAGCGTAAATGTCACCCGCAGGCCCTTCTTCCTGAGAAAGCTCTGAGAAGGCAGAAATCTTAAACCTAAATT